GAAATTTTTCATGATGTTCCTGTTATGGTCAAGGATGACGCATACATTTTCCATTATGATCAGATGTTATTTTGGGGTATGAAATGAACAGAAAACTTTATATTTGTCTTGTTTTCTAGTCGTTCTAGACGCCACAATTATAAACCGAACATCTCGAATTTACCATGGGGAAGCCGATCTGATCAACTAATTCCAATAGGACGAACCAAAACTTTTCTGTGTAAAATAACAAAATTAGAATGTTATTGAGTATTTTTTTAATCCGATACAAAAAATGGTTCGGAAAATATGACGCAGAGAAGCTTTTAACATCTAATAGGTCAAGAGAGTACAAATATCGTGAAATAATACCTGGACACTGAGTATAGATCCACAGAAACATAGAGCTCAGTGGTAGTGGGTATCATATGGACGGCTCCGTTTGACTATACAGTTCCGCTCACTGTGTTTTTTATACGAAAGCTAGGGTAAAAAAATTTGAAATTCTGCATCCATATTCCCGAGACCCGGTACTTCCCCGTATGCGGCAAGGGAATACAAAACAAATAAATAATATTTAGTATGGAAATCGTGAATACTATATTATTTGTTGACTATAATTCCGAATTCCACTTCTATTCCTACATCTAATGTCAAGTTTACTACCGTTTAGTACTCTTCATACACATAAGCACTTCATACACATATTTCTTCATACACATTAGTATCTTATTTCCACTATACAAATTTCGAACAAATATGTACACCTTTTCAAGACAACCTTCATACCTCAACGCTCAAACAGCAATCAATATTTTAAATTTCCAGCTCCTCGTACACATAAATTTGAATTTACAATTTTAAAAACTTTTTCCATACCTCAATACTGCACTCCGGCAGTAATTTTAAATCCAAATTTCAGGATCTCAGGTCTATCCGTTCACACAAATCCAAATTGTACCATATTCAGTATCATTTAGTACTTTATACGAATTTTCTAAACTACCTCTATGCTGCAACCCCAAAGGTAATTTTAATTCCAAAATTCTGGAGTCCAGAATTTCCAAAGCTGTCCCTTTAGCTCAATCCTCAAAAGTAATCTTTGTTGCATTTTTCAGTTTTCACCTCTATCCGTTCACCCAAAATCCAAAATGTAATAAATTTAGTACCATTTAGTCCTTTCCGTACCCAAAGGTAAGAATTCCTAAACTACCTCAATCTTATAGGCTCCAGCTCTATCTGTTCACTTAAATTGCGTATTTTCCGAAGTGGGGGGAAGTTGTCAGTTTTATCGGGGCTTGGCACGCCCTATTGTGACCTAATTATACCCTTCACCCATGCGTACTTTTGAGAACATGCATAAAATCACTTTCTGCGTCGATTTATTCATGTCCGTCCTTACGTTCGTATGTCCGTATGTCCAAGTATACCTGTGAACAAAGCAGAGATCGCATTTACAGTTCGAATTGGATGCTATTTGGCAAAGGTCATTTATTTGACCCAAGGACGAACCTTATTGTAATTTGTGAAAAGCGTTTAAGATTTAATTTATACGAAATTGTACATAACGTACCAAATTAAGTCCAAATTGATATGTGTGTTGAGTTTTGTTTAAACCTGTTCAGATTTAGATATAGCTCCCATATATATTTTCGTTCAATTTGAAGTAAATGGTGTACCAAAGAGCACCTGTTTGTTCGATTTAAACGAAATTTAAATTGCCTTTGACTTTTTTGCGAATTTAAAATCATTCATTCGACGTTCATTTGTCTGCAGCACAAATCACGACGTGCAAACATTTGAATAGACATTTAAAAAGAAAATTCTATCTTGCTCTTACAGGTGGTGTATGGAGGGTTCATTTCACACAAAAACTGTCAATAAAAGACCTTTTGCTAAATTGATTTATTTGAAAATACAAATGGTGGCATTTATTTAAAGAATCAAATGGAGAAAAAGGTGCAATACAAGGGGAGGATATATGAATACGAAGATACATTTCACACCTTCTTAAAACTTTATATAAAATAATATATAAACATGTAAGGGAAAGCCGAAAGACGGACAAAGCCAACACATAAGGGGACATTAGGTCCTCAATGTTGCTAATTTTTGAGTGTCCATAATCCTATTTCATACCAAAGCCTACATATCTGGCTTTCTAATTGCATTGGAATTTTGATAATCGGATGTTCCACTGTTCGGCAATCTAGACCGTCGTCGAAAAGAAGGAATTTTCTTTAATTATTAATTTATTAAGAACAACAACAAATTTTTATACCCTCCATGGAGGGTATATTAATTTTGTCATTCCGTTTGTAACTCATCGAAATATTGATTTCCGACCCTATAAAGTATATATATTCTTGATCAGGGTAAAAGGTTCTAAGACGATCTAGCCATGTCCGTCCGTGCTGAAATTTTGCATAGGTTTGTCTTTTGTCTGCAGGCAGGTCAAGTTCGAAGATGGGATATATCGGTCCACGTTTAGGCATAGCTCCCATATAAGGGTACCCGCCAAATTTCGGTATTTTGGGGTTCTTGAGCGCGTTTTTTAGCTGAATTCGCTGAAATTTGGTAGATTGGGTACGAAATGTGTCCATAAAAAATTACAAATATAGGTCCACTTTTTCTGGTAGCCCCCATATAACGGTACCTCCCAATTTTCAGTATTTTGGGGGTTTTGATCGTATTTTTCCGTCGAAGTAGCTGTAATTTAGTATTTTGAGTTATTAATAGGTACAAAATTCTCTCAAAAAAAAATATGAATATTGGTCCATTTTTTTCGTCCGTCTGTCTGTTGTAATCACTCTAAACAGATTGAGATAGAATTTTGCATAGAGTCGTCTTTTGTCAGCGTAAAATTCTATGACGATCTAAGCATGTCCGCAGGTCAAGTTCGAAGATGTGCTATATCGGTCCACGCTTAGGTATAGCTCCCATATAAGGGTACCCCCAAATTTTCAGTATTTTGCGGTTCTTGAGCGCGTTTTTTAACCGAATTCGCTGAAATTCGGTACTTTGAGTTCTTATTGGGTAGCAAATCTCTATACTAAAAATTATAAATATAGGTAAATTTTTTCGGGTAGCCCCCATATAAGGGTACCCCCCAATTTTCGGTAATTTAGGGTTCTTGGGCGCGGTTTTCAACTGAATTCGCTGAAATTTCGTACATGGGGTTCTTATTGGGTACCAAATTTCCCCTCTAAAAATTATAAATATAGGTCCACTTTTTCTGGTAGCCCCCATATAAGGGTACCTCCCAATTTCCAGTTTTTGGGGGGTTTTGACCGGATTTTTTCACCGAATTGGCTGTAATTTGGTAATTTGTGTTCTTATTGGGTAGCAAATCTCTCCACAAAAAAATATAAATATAGGTCAATTTTCGGGTAGCCCCCATATTAGGGTACCCCCAATTTTCGATATTTTGAGGTTCTTGAGCGCGTTTTTCAACCGAATTCGGTGAAATTTGGTATTTTGTAGTCGTATATGGTAACAAATCTCCCCGCCAAAAATAATTAATATTCACCCCTTTTTAGGGGTAGTCACCATATAACCCCCTTTTTTATTAAAATGGTTATCTGATTTGTTCAGTGTGTTTGTGTTGGGTAATGGTTACGGGGAATAGTCAATTTTTACCCTACAAACACTATTTAGCCATCTGTTGTAAACATTCCGCCTTCTAAAGATATTGTGATAAAAAAAAACTCAAACATGACTATAATGAAATATATCGGCAGACATTTAGCATCTCCTTTATATAGTGATACCTCCTGAAGGAAAGAATTGAGATAAACAATTAAAATATTGGGTTCAAAATTTGCATATACCGGTCATGAATTAGTCATAGCCGATCTGGATGAAAACACAGCTGTCATATATATTTCAAATGGGTGTATGATTGAAATTAAATTTTGAAGAGTGCGGCGTACCGAATAGCATGTATCAAGTTTGCTCTAAATCGATTTACATAAATTTGTCCCATTGCTTAAGTTCGTTCAATTTCATGTCAATTTTCTTTCGAAAAGACGATGTCTGTTAGGAGACATATCGACGCCTCCGAACCATAGTATGCTAAGTCGACTTAGCATGTTTTAAAGTTATTTACGTTTTTAGATACTACGGTCCTTAATTTATATTCTCTGAAATTTTGGTAATCATCGGCCAATCCAAACCAAAGTTATAAGCAAAAATTTACTTAGCATGGCACGTACGATACTTTGAAAGCTTTTACTGAAAAACTCACTTTTTAGACTTAGCATACTATGGTTCGGAGGCGTCGATATGTAGAATATACTCAAAGTGCTGAAGGATATCGTATAGTCGACCCAATCTGACTTTACAAAATTCCTTACTAATTTTTAATTGAATACTACTAGGACTTTGCATATTAGTTTTTTTTATTAAATTGAAGAGATAGTAATATCATAGTAAGGCAGCTAGCCTTACTATTGGTGTTTATTCGGTAGACGCACGCGTATCATTTTAGAAATTATGGTCAATACAATATTGTGACCAAAGGAAGGGGTTTTTCCTCCTACATCAAAATAAAACTGATTATGAACTCACCTCTGACATTCGTGTCCATACAACCCCTTTTGGGAAATTATGAAAATTTGCATCGCTTGCCAGGACTAGTCTGTTATGCTCCCAATTTCCTGCAAAAAGTAATTCCCGACGAAGAACCCAGCCTTGGGTTCTCCGTAGGACAAATAAAGGGAACCATAATCTGCAATTTTTGTTTTGTTTTCCCACGTCCAGGAGGAGCAGGGTGGGTGTTATGACGGTTTCACTGTCATTTCGTCTGGCAATAACCTCATTATATCTTTTCCTATCTGACACAACCCATAACACTAACAACCTTAAACTACAAACATCTTGTAACCTCTAACCTTATCTCCGTGATGTACTAAAGTCATTTTACAACAACAACAACAAATTTAATCTTCAATTTAATGCTATTTTGTTGTCTTTTTTCTCCCACTCTACCTCTCGCTCTCTCCCCATATCTACCGTTCTAGGTTGAACTGGAAAAACTCAATACAGCAACAGACAATATTAACAAATATGAAGTGGAACTGGATGTAAGTATTGTATCCCTTGTATACTTCCATCCTTTACACCCTTATTGGTGTGGGAGGACAATTTTATTTTTTCGTTTTTTATATAGCAAAGGATTTCTCCCTCTATAAAATATGACAAAATAATTTCATTTACTTGCATGTTCATGTCCATCATTCGTCTGTCTGTCGGCAGGAAGCCAAATGTGAGTTTAAACGAATATTGGCCGAAAGTGTGGTTCGGATAAAACAGTCGGCCCACAAGTTGGGTAATTCCATAGAAGCGGCTAAACCCTATTATGAATCTCGCATTTATGCTGCTCAGGTAAGTAGATGTAATGAAGTGTGAACGTACATATGTGTATATTTTTTGTCGATGTGTGCGTCGTGTGTGTGTGTATGTTTGCCATGTGCTGCTAATTTTAAAACTGCGACATTTTTGTGAACTTTTTTTCCAACCTCTTCCTATTGTGTGGTTTATTTTTTTAGCTTGCCAAGGAAACTCAGGTGGCAGCAGCAAATTATGAAAAGGCCAAATCTATACATGCCGCAGCCAAAGAGATGGTCTATTTGGCCGAACAGGGTTTGGGTGAGAAATCCACACTGGATACAGCCTGCCAGGAGATGTTAAGTCATGCCGCCAGTAAGTATGCTTATTTATAGTTCGGGAACCACCCATCTCTTCCCTCCCTTTCCACGACAAGAATATTGATGACGCTAAATTCCATCGTATCCTTTGTACGTGTCCTACTACACTCACACACATAATGTGTTTGCATAGTGTGTGTGTGTGAGTTGGGGATTTTTATTGGGTGTTGCGGCTTTGTTGTCCTGTTTATGTTGTGTTATTTTTTTATTCTTTTCTTTTTCTAGGCAAAGTCAATCAATCACAACTGGAGGTTACCGATGCTCGCAACTCATTGAAAATGTGTCAATTGAAACTGGAAGTAGCCAATAATCGTGTGGGTAAATTACAGGGACAATTACGACAGGCCATCAAGGCATCAAGGTGAGTGAGTGAGAGTGTGTGTTAATGTTCGGCTAGAATTGTGTAATTATTTTTAACCGCACAAAACGTGAGTTTACCATGAAATTGGATGGGCGTGAAGTCGGTATTTCATTTCGTTTTTTATGAAATTTAAATTTTTTTATCGTCAGTTTTATGGTTATTTTAAACCCTAAGTTTCTTTGGATCAAATCCGTTTCAGGCTGGTGTGCACGATAAATCTAGAAGAGAGTAACGGATATCATCCAATTCTTGTACATCGTAACATTTCTTCAAGACTGAAATCGAAAAATTAATTTTAGACCCTATATTTCTTTGGACCATATCCGTTTCAGGGCATTTGGAATGTCTGGCTGGTGTGTACGATAAGTCTAGAAGGGAGTAACAGATCTCATCCCATCCTTGCACATCGTAACATTTCTTCAAGACTTAAATCATGTTCGAAGTTGAGGAATTTCGATCCACTCTTTCTTGCATCTCCCCGACAAAATGGTCAACATTTTGTGGGAAATTAATTTATTAATATCATGTGAACCGAGTATCAGATTTGAACCAAATATGGCATGATATATTTACACAATCTGAATTCTTGGAGGGTGAATACAAGGTTTCCAGAAAACTTTAGATATAGTAAAAAAGCTTCTATATAAAAATCTCGGTATATTGCAAGCCGTTATTTAGAAGGTGTTAGTCGAGGTTTACCATTGAAAATCGACATTCCGGATTTCAATATATAATTTTTTCAATATACATCCATGTCTAACTTACTAGCAGACTGTTTACAATGATATAGTCGTATTTGAAAACGTTGTTACCTGATTTTTATTCCTCAATGGTAACACTTCTCTATTCTAGACCCCGTACTTCTTTGGAACAAATACGTTTCAGACAGTTTTGAGTGTGTCTGCCTGGTGCGCACTATAACTCTGGAAGAGAGTAACCAAACCTTACATACATAGCTGGCCAGCTTAAAGTTTTTTCCAATTTGAAAGAACATCTTTCAATATGCCATCTTCCACTTGATCTTTCCATCGAATTCATCACCTTACCCTTCTGCACGAACAATCGGTTGGCTCGCTTGTTTGAGCTGGGGCATCCTCATCATGGCCATAGTCATCGCAGTTACTGTAGTTCCACACACCTGACTATGTCGATGTCCGAGTATAGAATATCGATGTCCGCCGATATTCACAATCGACACAGATCGACCAATATTTGCCTCATCTGCTTGCGCAGGTACCCATGCTTCAGACCCATACACCAGCACGGATAGTATCCGAATTTTAAAGTATACAGATCGTCATATCTCGACTAGCTGAGTCGATCTAGACATGTGTGTCCGTCCGTCCATTATAATTTGTGAACACGATACAGGCCACAGTTATGGACCAATCTTCACAAATTGCATGAAGGATGGGTTCTGGCCAATGAAGAACCCTATTGTTTTTGATAAAGATCGGTTAATATTTAGGGGATGAAATGGACCAAAAACTAAATTTTTGTCTGATTTTCTGGACACTCTAGGGGCCGCAATTATGGCCGAAACATCGCGAATTACTACATGGAGAAGGGGATTGGGCCATAGAATAAGCATGCATGTTTTGATAAAGATCGGTCAATATTTAGCGGGTCAAATGGGCCCTTACTTTTGTGAGAAAAATTACAAAATTTTAATTCTATAGCGTATATTTTTACTCCTAAATGGCATAGAGCCGAGAAGTTCATAGTATATCCAAGAGGAGTGGTTGACCTTTAAGTTGATACCAATTATATTGTCGTATATACTCGGATGTGGGAGTTACATTTAAATATTTACAGATGCTTACGTACTCAGATATTATTTAGTAACACATTATCACACTAGAGACAGAAATACAGCGCGGGTCGCTTTGAAATTTTCCATGAGGATCCAGGTATGCTCAAGGATGACGCCTATAATTTTCGGTGATGATCAGATAATAATATTGGGATGAGGTGGACCGAATACTTAATTTTTTGAGTCAATATATAGGTCACAATTGAAAGCCGAACATCATAACACAACCTATGGTGACGGGAATCTGGGCAAGTAATTAGAAGGGATTTACTGAATATTAGTAATATTTGTTGACCTCTAGTCGGTCAAGAGGGTGCAAATATAGCGAAATATTGTCCATGCTTAGAATATATAACCACAGAAAGTTAGATTTTCGTGGAAGTTATGTAGGGTATCATAAGGTCGGCCCCGTCCGACTGTACTGCTCCCCTCACTTTCCCAGGATTTGGTGCAGAGTGAAAATCTGGTAAATGGTGGATTTGCCAAGTCTGAAGTCGCATTGGTTTCAGTCGTTCACTCTTTATATATTATATTTCTTCCAAACTCATATCAAGTTCGGAGATATGGAATATCAATCGCTCCTTCCCTTACCTCTCCTACAAAATGGACAAAATGTTGATGAAAATTAAGATCATGATATCATGCGAGCTGAGTATCATATGTTGAAACAAATTTAAAACAATCTAACATATTCAGCATTTCTGTATAATGATTGAATGCGGGGTATATCGATCCACTCCTTCTAATAACTTCCCCAGAAAGGTCAACATTCGAAAATATGTAAATCGCATATGAAGCGAAGGCAAGCGGTTTGGTTCACATTGTGTCCATCGTAATCATTATAGGAAACCTAGATCAAATTCCAAGATGTTCGGCATCGGTCCAATATTGATTCAATATTTGGTACCTCTCTCACAAAATGATCTTTATATTAAAAACTTTTTCATATGAACCGAATGTAGTATCCGATATGATCTATATTGATTGAATACAGAAATATTTTTACCACACCTACATAAAATCAGAAGATCTATACGGTAACTTCTCCGGGTACCTACACACATATGAAGGAATATAAAGCGAATGCTAAATGTAAAGTCGTTTTTGGGATTGCCAGTTTTTACGGAGAAGTCCGTCTTGTTGGTATGTTTCTCAGGTTTATACTGGTCACTTTGACCTAGATATTGTCTATATTGCCTAAATGAACCACCACCCCCCCTCTTTACATATTTGTAACATGCAAAAGGAAATGAGGTAGACACATGGCTCCTTTTGAGAATATGCATAGAATCACTTTCTGAGTCGATTTATGCATGTCCACCCGTCCGTCCGTCTGTAGATGTTAAATTGTAAACAAAGTACAGGCCGCATTTATAATCCGATTTGGATGAAATTTGGCACAAGTCACTTATTTGGCCCAAGGACGAACCCCATTGAAATTGAAGAAAATCTGTTCAAATTTAGATATAGCTCCCATATATAGTTTCGTCCGATTTAAGGTAAATGGTGGACCAAAGTACCTATATATCTTTCGATTTGCACGAAATTTGGCATAGGGTACTGTATTAGGTTCAGAATGATGTGTGCTAAGTTTCGTGAAAATCGGTTCAGATTTAGGTATAGCTCCCATATATAGCTTCGTCCGATTTAAGGACAATGGTGCACCAAAGTCCCTATATATTTTTCGATCTGCACGAAAATTTGCATAGGGTACTGAATTAGGTCCAGAATGATGTGTACTAACTTTCGTTAAAATCGGTTCAGATTTAGATATAGCTCCCATATATAGTGTCGTCCGATTTAAGGTAAATGGTGCACCAAAGTCCCTATATATCTTTCGATTTGCACGAAATTTGGCATATGGTACTGAATGATGAGTGGTGAGTTTCATGAAAATCGGTTCAGATTTAGATATAACTCCCATATATATTTTCGTCCGATTTAATGTAAATAGTGCAACATTGTTCCTATATATCTTTCGATTTGCACGAAATTTGGCACAAGGTACTGAATTAGATCCAGAATGATGTGTACTAAGTTTCGTGCAAATCGGTTCAGATTTAGATATAGCTCCCATGTATAGTTTCCTCCGATTTAAGGTAAATGGTGCACCAAAGTCCCTCTATATTGACATGTGTTGGAATTGTTTTTAGTCGGTTTACTTATAGATAAAGATCGCATATTTAAGTTCAATTTCATGTCAATGTTCCTTCGAAAATACGACATCTGTTAGGATAAATATGTAGAATATCCCCAAAGTGGTGAAGGGTATCATATAGCCGGCCCAGTCCGACTTTACTACTTTCCTTACTGGTATTTATATTATATAAGGCGACGGGAAGCTCGTTTTATTTTTTGGGTGCATTCGTTCTCCGGTTCATCGTGGCCAGTTTTCCCAAATATATGCTTATTTCTTGTAGTGAGCTTGGCAATAACCATGCTCACCTCCGCCATCTTTTCAGTCTCTTCGCTCCTCCGGCATTCTAAGACGGTTATGTTAGTGTTATCCTCGTGTTCAGACCCGAAATTTTTAGTTTGAGTCTCCGCCATTCATGGAAGGTTGGATCGAGATTGTTCTTCCCCGGTGTTTTTTCTTGTTATGATGTTTTGGTCCATACTATTTACTAAAATGAATTTGGATCAACATTTTCATTTGAATTTTCCAGTATGGAGTGATAATTAATTATTCTTATGGTCAGAGGTGGATGACATTGATGTAGGCAACATTTCCTACCTTTTCACTAATATACAACACACACATTTTTTACTTATTTTTGCTTAAAATCATTATTATTATTTTTTTTTCAAATGATTTTTTATAATTTTTTTATTTTTTCTTAACTTTTAGTTTCAATATTCGACGCAATTTACTTTTAATTAATTTATTGGCTTATCAACATGATTTGAGTAATTTGTAAGTAATAATCATTACAACAGCAAAATGATTTTCTAATAATTCAATTCCATTTCAAATATTTCCCCCTTACTCTCTTTTGTTACTTTTAGGCCCTACTATGAGACCCGAGCCAACTACAATGGCATCCTAAAAGCACAAAAAGAGAAAATCAATAGCCTGGAAAATAAAGTGTCCGAAGCCAAGATGACCTATAATGAGGCTTTGAAAAATCTCGAACAAATATCCGAAGAAATTCATCGTCAGAGGCAACAGCAGCAGCAGCAACAACAGAATCTAATAAACTACGAGACCATGCTGAATCAAGCCTCGGAAGATACAACGTCCAATTATACATCGTCCTCTGGTGAAATGACCACAACATTTCAACAATTCTCCTGTGATATCGATACCAGTGATGAGTATCTCGAAATGCCCGATAAGTTGAGCACAAATTCCAGCCCCATACGGCAGCGGCATATGGATGAACACGAATGTCCCCATTTGTTGAGAGATTTCGAATCGGTGTTGACATTTCCGCAGAAAATTGCCGGTGGAATGCATAAATCGGCCAGCACCAGCAATACCAGTGATAATCTGTTTGCCCAGGCCCAGCTGCACGGTCCATATGAAGTGAAATGTTCCTCGATTGGTAGTGGGCAAAATCTCAATACAGATAATAGTTCGGGAAGTACGGGAAAGGGTGGTGGGGGCGGTGGCGGCATCGGCGATACAGATGATAATGACATTGAACAATGGACTGAGATACGTTTATCGCATTCGGAAAGTACCAGCTCTAGTTATTCAAATCAAAGTCTATTGCATGATCATGCCGATGGTGTGGCCGAAGATGCCCAATCTCATCATTCATCGTCTTCCTCATCGGATGAGCCGAAGCGTAAAGTTACCTGCACTACGATATTTCAGGAAGACGAACAAATCAATCGCAAACAATCGCTCAGTCAATGGTTGTCACGTTCGAATAGTCTTAAAGTGGGCGGCCGAAGGCAATCGCTCGATCTCCTAATTGATGCCAGTGACAAAGTGAAAGATGTCTTTTCGTTTGGTTTTCAAAAGGTCGGACGCACCCTGGAGCGACGTAACAGCGAATCGGAAATGAATAATGAATGTGGCGCTAATGGTTCGCCAAATGTGGGCAGTGGTGGTATGTCGGGGGCCAATAACACTTCCACATCATCGTCGACTACATCGGCTGGTGATTTCTTTCTATTTGCCAGGTCAGTAGTAGTAGAAGAAGAAGAAGAGGACCAAGAGGTCCTAACCTCATCACTTACCAGAACAACGTCAAGGCATGATTTAACACCTTTTTGCACTTTTACAAATTCTAGCAATACAAATACTAATAAACATATAACCACTACAACAACAACAACAGCTACTCCAACAACAACAAATAACAATTATGAAAATACAAATACAACTAAAGCTTTGCACAAAAAGACTGGACTATTTGGCGCTTTACAACATCATCTCACAAAACTCAAATAAATAAACAAAAATGCATCTGATTTTTTTTTCAAAATTGTTTTACCTTGTATTTTTGCTAAAGAAAAAAATCTATATGTTTTTTTATTATATAACATTTTCTTCTTAGTATATATTTTTTGTATTTTTTTATACTAAAACATAACAACAACAAAACACTCTCAAAACAAAAAACTCTAACAACAACCCAATTGAATTTTTGATATAAAAATTTCCTCCCCATTTTTTGTATCACATGAAATTCGAAATCCTGCTCTAAATTTAACTTCTTTGTTCTGAGGCAAGTACTACTGATTGGCTTTTTATCATAATCTCAATGTTTTATTACTTTTTTTTGATAACAAACAACAAATCATTAACTTTTTTATTATTGTAAACATGTATGTATGTAAATATGCATTATGTATATTCAGCATGTTTTATTATTTTTTTAATATATATGTGTAATTTTTTTTTAAATATGTAAATATAATATATTATTCGAGAGGCGTTCTCATTTGGATCAATTTTAAAAGTGTTGAATATCGGTTCCGATTTATATATATATATATATATATCTTCGTCCGATTTTACAATACGGCACCAAAAACCCAACGTTTCTCGGATATCGAATTAAGTCTAGAATGACGTGCGATATTTTCCTGTTACTCCTCTTGGGATCATAGGACTTCCACAAAGCACCGCCATCCTATTCGGTTGGTTGCCGTTTTTATTGCATCTTCCCATGTAATGTTTTTATACCCTTCACCACACTGTGGTACAGGGTATTATGTCTTTGTGCATATGTTTGTAACAGGCAAAAGGAATCGAGGTAGACCCATGGTTCCTTTTGAGAATATGCATAGAATCACTTTCTGATTCGATTTATGCATGTCCGTCCGTCTGTTGATGTTAAATTGTAAACAAAGTACAAGTCGCATTTATGATCCGATTTGGATTGAATTTAGCACACTCACTTATTTGGCCCAAGGACGAACCCTATTGAAATTGAGAAAAATCGGTTCAGATTTAGATATAGTCCGATTTAAGGTAAATGGTATACCAAAGTCCGTATATATCTTTCGATTTGCACGAAATTTGGTATAGCCTACTGAATTAGGTCTAGAATGGTGTGCGCTAAGTTTCGTGAAAATTAATTCAGATTTAGATATAGCTCCCATATATAGTTGCGGCCGATTTTAGGTAAATGGTGCAGCAAAGTCCCTGAAAATGATTTGATTAGCACGAATTTTGGCATAGCGTATTGAATTAAGTTTAGAATGACTTGTGCCAAGTTTCGTGAAAATCGGTTCAGATTTAGATATAGCTCCCATATATAGCATCGGCCGAGTTAATGTAAATGGTGTACCAAAGTCCCTATATATCTTTCGATTTGCACGAAATTTGGTATAGCCTACTGAATTAGATCTAGAATGATGTGTGGTAAATTTCGTGAAAATCGGTTCATATTTATATATAGCTTCCATATATAGTATCGCCCGATTTTAGGTTAATGGTGTACCAAAGTCCCTATATATCTTTCGATTTGCACGAAATTTGATATAGCCTACTGAATTATGTCTAGAATGATGTGTGCTAAGTTTCGTGAAAATCGGTTCAGATTTTGATATAGCGCCCATATGTAGTTTCACCCGATTTAAGGTAAATGGTGTACCAAAGTCCCTATATATCTTTCGATTTGCACGAAATTTGGTATATCCTACTGAATTAGATCTAGAATGATGTGTTTTAAGTTTCGTGAAATTCGGTTCATATTTATATATAGATTCCATATAAAGTTTCGCCCGATTTTAGGTAAATGGTGCACCAAAGTCCCTGCAAATCTTTTGATTAGCAAGAATTTTGGCATAGCGTACTAAATTAAGTCTAGAATGATGTGATGGTTTTACGCAAATTGTGCACTAAAGATCCATACCATAGTCCGATTGACACAACGTACTGAAGTTAATATAAATTAATCTCTGGCAGGTTTGCTTGAAATCGGTTCAGATATATATAACTTAGCTTCCATATATGATTTCGACTTATTTGTGTTAATTGTACACCAAATGATCAATGGGTGTCTGATTGAGATTAAATTTTAAACAGTACAGCGACGTCTTTTCGACTTTCCTTACAGGTTTGTCTTAATTTTTGGATTACTTTTCGCCGCCAGGTGTTTCTTGGTCGACCTAGCTTTCTAAATCCTTGGGGATTCTATTTAAGCGCAATTCTGGTTATGCTATGGAAATTTTTTATTAAGTGGCCACACCTTAAGAAAAAATTTCCATAGGTTCTCAATTTTCTACGTTTAATCTGTTTCTGTATGGGTTTCTGGTTCGTTAGGTTCCACAACTCTACCTAACTTATGGTGTTGGGCCAGAATATTCTGCATATGATACTGAGGCATATATTAATAAATGCCTGTAGCTTTTGCGTGATGGTATTTGACACTGCCGTGTAGCAGAATCGCCTTTATATATGCTTCGAATATTTTAAGATTCGTTTTCCTAGATATATGTGATCTTCTTCATAAACCTTGCAGTTGGCCGAATGCTGTTCTCGCTTTTGTAAGGCACTTACGTCTATTTCTGCACCACCATTTGTTGTTACAGTTCTTCCGATATATCAGAAGCTTCAGAAGCTATAGAGGTATTCAATTGCTTTCGTGCCTTTTGTTTTAATATCAAGTCCAACATTGCCTGTCAGGCTCTCCAGATCTTCTACTTTGGATATCTATGAGAGAGAAGGCAGATATCATCTGCATAGTCTAAGTCTTCGAGACTCCATGTTACGCCTCTTCTCTGAGATCAGACTTCATTAATTATTTCATCCAGTTAGATTTGGGCAATCTAGTTCACGTAGCGGATCGTTCTTTCTCGTTCCTTTTTTAAAAACGAACTAGTTCCTTAATGTAGTTCCCTTGCTCCATGTAGTTCCTTTGCTCCATATAGTTCCTTTACTAAATACAGTTCCTTTGCCCTTTATAGTTCATTTGCTTTTTATAGTTCCTTTGCTCCGTATAGTTCCTTTGCTCTTTATAGTTCCTTTATTTTTATAATTCCTTTGTTTCATATTGTTCCGACTCCTACATAGTTCCTTTGAATCTCTCTTTCATCGTTCTTTTTGTTTTTCTCGCTCACATAGTTCCGTGTTGAAAAATTACGAGATCAGAATAAAGTATACCAAAAAGGAACGAGATCAAAAAGATCCGGAAAAGGAACTATATTAATTAAAGAGTTGGACCTAGTTCCGATCGTTCCTTTCTCTGAATAGTTCCAATGAACTAGTTCGTTCCGGAACTACCCAACACTACATACAGTACAATGGTGAACAGTTGGGGTGACTTTAAACCATCTTCTTCTGCTGATTTCTTAATTTTTAATTGTTCTATTACCTCTTTTATTCGAAATGTTCTTTTCTTCGAAATGTTCTCTCCATCTCTGAGTTTGTTCATCATTGTTTGTTAGTAGCCTAACATGACAATATTTAATTGATTGGTTTCTGGAACATCTTATATTTGTGAAACAATCTATTGTTCGGTGTTACTCTGGCTAGTTGCTTCCTCGGCTGTTTTTACCAGATTTTCTAGGAACTTTATTTTATATTTCCATGCTGTTTTCAAGTAGTTGATTTTGTTATTTTGTGATACTGTTGTTGTTCAGCTGCAAGTTATTCCGGGATAGGAAGGCTTGTATCGTGGGAGCCTGTGCTTCGGTCTGGAGGGATGTGCAGCGTGGTTGCCCACAGGGTTCCATTTGTGGTCCATGTATATGGAATCTCATGATGGATCCTCTGTTGCGGGAGCTAGCTGCCTCCTTCAAGGTCTGTGCATATGCGGATGACTTGCTCATCATGATTCGCCTTGAACTGGAAAATCGTGGTGAGCAAGCTATGCATATTGTACAGGCTTGGAGTGACCGAGTTGGAGTGGAGGTGGCTACCAAGAAAACGGTGCTGATGCTGCTGAAAGGCAGGTTGGAACGCAGCCGTCCTCCCTGCATTCGAGCTGGTGAACGCAGCATACGATATTCGTGTACTGTTAAATATTTCGGAATAACGTTGTCAGAGCGTATGCATTTTCTTCCACATTTGATCGGTTGAAGGAGAAGCTGTCAACGGTCGTTGGGACCATCAGGCGTGTTTAGCGGACTGATTGGGGCTTGAGTAGGCGTTCTGTGCGTATCATATATGGTGGGCTTTTTGTTGCCTGCGCAACTTATGGTGCACCTATATGGTACAGAACTGCCTCTTCTGTCTTTGGGCAGAAGAAGCTCCTTTCGTGTCTGCGGGTGGTCATGTTAGCATGCTTGCCAGTGTGTCGCACTGTTTCCACAGAGGCGTTGCAAGTGCTGCTTAGCGCCGCGCCGCTTGATCTTGAAGTGAGATGTAGGGCTATCATGTATAAGCTTAAGCGTGGTTTGCAGTTGGATGAGGATGATTGGCTCAGGCCTTCTGATTTGGTGAATGGGGAGAGTAGGCGGTACAGCACTATCCTTCGGGATTGTGTTGTTGATAGGTGGAGGACAAGGTGGACGAACAGTGGCAAAGGGAGGGTCACGTACGAATTTATTCGTGACGCAATGTTCGTAGTGGACCAGCCAGACTTTCGCTTCGGCTTAAGTACTGGTTCTTACTGACGGGGCATGATTCTCTCAATGCGTTTCTGCATAAAAGAGGATGATTGGCTCAGGCCTTCTGATTTGGTGGATGGGGAGAGTAGGCGGTACAGCACTATCCTTCGCGATTGTGTTGTTGATAGGTGGACGAACAGTGACAAAGGGAGGGTGACGTACGCATTTATTCGTGACACAACGTTCGTAGTGGACCGGCCAGACTTTCGCTTCGGCTTAAGTACTGGTTCTTACTGACGGGGCATGGTTCTCTCAATGCGTTTCTGCATAAAAGAGGCCTGTCCCAGACGGATTTATGTGGGTGCGGGAAGACTGAGGACTGGAAGCATATACTGACGGAATGCTGTTACTATGATGACATTTGAGATTTAGCAAGTATGGGTATATCGAATGGAGGGGCGGGGTGGAATTTCAGTAGGGATTTTGAAGAAGATCGGATCTTTAGTTGTTTTAGAAGTTTTGCTCGTGAAGCATGTAGGAGAAGGGCAGTACTTTGTGGAGGTGGTCCTCGTGCATAGCCCCCTTGCAGTTGGGTTTGGTCGGTTGCACCGGGTGGCGGTGGTGCGGTTGTTGGTGGAGAGCTGCAGTTGTTGTTGCAGCTGTGGTCTACTGTCGTTCCACATCGTGGGAGGTTCGCGGTCTCCCTACTTCGCGGGATTCACTTCTGCGTTTGTGTAGGCTCCCCGTGAGGTCAGTTTCGTTGATTGTTTTTGTTGTGATGTCCGATGCCGCGGTCCTTTGGGCCCTTTATGAAGTCCGTGAGGACAGCATGTTAATTGTTTGTGTTATGTGTATTTGATCGACGTCGCCACCAGCGTTCGAAAATAAACATTATGGTACCGTTCCATAGTGTTCTGTACCGTACCAAGGTGGATAGGTACACTAAAATAACGTACTGTACCGGTACACAAACACTAAAAATATTTTTAGCGTTACTGTTCCGGAGCACAACGAAAATCTTAGCGTACCAACTGCGGTACACTAAAAAATCGTAGTGTACCGACAGCGGTACACTAAAAATCGTAGTGTACCGGCAGTGGTACACTAAAAAATCGTAGTGTACCGACTGCGGTACACTAAAAAATCGTAGTGTACCGACTGCGGTACATTAAAAATCGTTGTGTTCCACTGGTCGGAACACTAAAAATGTTAGTGTTCCACTGTTCGGAACACTAAAAATCGTAGTGTTCCACTGGTCGGAACAATACAAATCGTAGCGTTTCACTTACTTGAACTGTGCTGGTAGTGTACCATACACGTCTGTTTTGTTTTTTGAGGTAAAATGAGATCAAATAATAAAAAAATAAAAATGAATATAACTTTATTGGCAATTACAAAATTTAGGTATTTTGGCCAGTTTTTGTGACAAAATTATACAGCTTTGGATAAAATTGTCATTAATTTACAGAACGAACACGACTTTTCCCATAAAATTAGGAGATCTCCTTGTAAAATGTTGGTATGAAAATTTTTTTCTTAAAAAAAATTATACCTGCATCTATGATTCAAATTTTTAGGAAATTTTATCAAAAATATTCAAAATTTGATGATTGGCACACAATCACGTAATTATTACCTGCTTATTCATGAAAAGAAGTGTACAAGTTACGCGAATATGAAAAAAGTAGTTTTATGATTTTGGGATAAATATTACAAGACCACATACAGGTACCATATAAAAGCCGAATTTCATATTTCCGATGAGCGCAATCGATTATAACCCAAAATGTAATTCAATGGAATTTTCAGTTATGAGTTGGCACTAGATGCCCTTTTTTAGTTACAAAATAGTTATTATGTTAAACTGTTGATGTTAATATAATATTACTATTTTTTAATAAAATATAAACAAATACAAATATAAAAAATATTGTATTTATTAAGTATATTGAAAAGCAATAAAAATATAAATTTTATTCATACTAAAATAAAAGATAAATACATCATTTTGTTTTTCGACAAATGGAACACTATTATTTTAAGTGTTCCGCCAAGTGGATCACTACGATTTTTAGTGTTCCGCCAAATGGAACACTACAATTTTTAGTGTTCCGACCGCGGTACGCTACAATTTTTTAGTGTTCCGACCGCGGTACACTACGATTTTTTAGTGTTCCGAACGCGGTACACTACGATTTTTAGTGCTCCGACCGCGGTACACTACGATTTTTAGTGCTCCGACAGCGGTACACTACGAATTTCGTTGTGCTCCGGAACAGTAACACTAAAATATTTTTAATGTTTGTGTACCGGAACACTAACGCTAAAATTTTTTTAGTGTTTGTGTTCCTGGTACGGTACACTACGATAGTGTACCGTTTTTTTGCGAACACTGGTCGCCACTGCTTGGGGCAGTGCGGTTTTTGAATGCTGTCGTATTTTAGTTTTGGGATACCAGCCCGGACTTGCATCAAATTTTTCCGTAAGTTTTCCGTACCGCGGGTATCAGATGCCCCTGGATCTGTTGATCCAGCCTTACAGTTGGTGTGGCCCCCTGGCGAGCTTCGCGGTGGTTGTGGTTTCGCCCCTCACCATGGGGGAGAGTATGCCTTCTTATTGGCATTCAATAACGCTTTAGATCAGTACTGGACAGATTAGTGCAATACTGGACAGATTAGTGCATTAGGAAAAGAATATTAGATCAGTAATGGACAGAGTAGTGCAATAGGAAAAGATATCCCAAAGGCTCTCTCAAAATCAATCAACATTCTTTGTACCTTAAGTTTAAAACACTGAGTATACATAATGGCTATATACATACATACATATTGAAATAAAACAATCTACCATGTGTATATAACATTTATAATCAATTTAATATTTTATATTCTATTTCTTGTAGATCTGAACCCAAAGAATTGTTGTCCGACGAACAAGTCGAGAATCTCTTACTTAGCCATTCAGTGGATGAAAATGGAACGATAATTGTGGAAGAGCTTAAATCACCATTACAACAGCCAGCCGGCAATAAATATGGTGGCGGCTTGCCCTCGCTTTTAGTTTAAATTCTAATTTTTTATTGAGAATTTGTTTTTATCAGTTGTTATTAATTTTAATTTAAATTAAAAAAAAAATTAAAATCGATATTGTACATTTAAGAAAACATATCAAAATTAGCGATGGAAAAAATTAAATATAATTTGCTTATTATTTACATTTATTATTAACTTTAGAGGTCCGGGCAGAATGTTGGTGTTGCCAACATGAGAATGAGAACCATGACACAATAAATAGGTGGTCCATTTACAGCAGCTGATGTATTGATTAACTGTCAAAGTGCGTAATTTCTACTTGAATTCGATGTGCAATGTTGCCAACCATGAGAAATAATACTAGTACATTTAGAACAGCTGATGTCTTGATTAACTGTCAAAGTGCATAATTTCTACTTGAATTCGGTGTGCATTGTTGCCAACCATGTAAAATATTATAAGGAAAAATTTGACAGATCATCATGGTCCCGACCATGATGCAATAATAAGGTGATGTATCAAAACAAAAACCTTTGTTTTTGTCTTGACCATCTGTCAAATGTTTCCTTATAATATTTCACATGGTTGGCAACATTGCACATTGAATTCAAGTAGAAATTACGCACTTTGACAGTTAATCAAGATATCAGCTGGGATAAATGGACTACCAATTTATTCTGCCATCACCTTATTATTGTATCATGATGAGAACCATATGACATTTGCTTTCACTATGGTTGGCATCACTTACAATTTGTTTTTCTTTGGCAACACGAAGCGTTAGAATTTTCCACTAATAGCCATTAGCGGTCGACAAATAAAAAAAATGAATAAGTAAGGTCTTAAGAAGCGCGAAAAACAATTGTTCGTAATTTACAAAGTTTTAAATGCAAATAAAAACATGAAACTTCAGTTCACGAAACCTGATTAATTTGTGATACCTAACTATTTCAAATGCTGCTGTCGCATTGTTATTGCAACATTATATTAAAATATATATATTTATTTTATTATACATATATAAAATATTTTAATTTATTTTTGTATGCAAAACTATAATGTATTTTTAGGTTAAATGTTTATAGTTCGTGACACATTTGCGAAGGAGCCAGTTTGATTAATTACTAAATATTGTGAAATATGAACTAGTGGAGTAAAATCTTGAGATACATCCTGAAATAAATGAATTGTAGTTATATTGTTATATTCCTAGTGATAAATTTTAAAAATGCACGGTTATTATCCATGGTATAAATATTATAAGGGCAAAATAAATATTTGGTGTTGCCAAACATTTATTCTGCCAACTGATTACAATTTTTGTGGCTTGTCCTATCAAATCAAAATACATATTTTGTGTATGTATGTGCATGGCACAATGAATAGGTAGTCCATTTAGAGCAGCTGATGTCTTGATTAACTGTCAAAGTGCGCAAAATCTACTTGAATTCGATGTGCAATGTTGCCAACCACGTTAAATATTAATTTTGAGTTGAAAATATATTAATTTTATATTTGACAGAATATGCCTACATAGTTGTATTTTTGTATTTCCACCTAGTTCACAACCGCGGCCAAAAATGGTAAAAGCCAAGTACATGGAAGCACAAATTTATTGGTGAGAATTGATACAAAACATTCCAATTAGGAAAAATATGAATTTTGGTATTGATACGCCAAGTAGTTTTGCCTATACGAGGGTTCAAATCTGATAGTTGATGGCAATCGGCATTTTTCTCGTTTTTTTCGGAAAATTTGTACTTTTTTTATATGCTCAAAAATTAGAATATTAAAAGTAAAGGTTTTAAAAAAGTGTTTATTTTAGTTGCTTGGGATGTCAAAAACTTGGCTTCACCTTTGTTTGGGTGTAAATAGTGATCATATGCTGTTTACAGTTACAGACACCTGTTGTACTAAGTTCATCTATTTTGTAAAGCAATTCTTGAAATTAGTGGAGTAGGATTTTTGTTTATTTTATTTTAGTTGTGAAAAGTATGTACTTTTAACCTATAAAAAATTTAGCTGCGGACACCCAAAAATTGAGCTACTTTCACAAGATGCTAACAAGTCATGCCACAAAATAATTAGTAGCAGCCCGAACTTTTGTTAAAGCCGAGTCAAATAAGGATTTTATTTAGTATTTTATATTACAATCCGACCTTGTAATATCCTTAAACAGCCATAAAGTTAAGGCCCGAAATTATAATATGGATGATACTAAATCGTACAGTTGGGAAGACAATATTTTATATATATCTCTTATTTGCGTTTTGAAAATTTTGTTAATGATAAAAAAGTAATTTATTAGGAACTAAAGTATATCAAATATTTTATTATAATAAAAATAACAAAAATAAAACTACTATACTTAATTTAGCTAATTATAGCGATTTTTTAGTACAGAAAGTTACTTTTATAGGGACGTTTGGTATGGTAGGTACCTGAAACATGGACCAATAACTAAATTGCAACACCTATTACTGTCTTCGCCCAAATTAGAAGTAATTTGGAAGAAGACATGAAAATGTTCATGGAATTTGGATTAATAGGTCCAAAAATCGGATTTTGAAGACCCTTTGTATATTGGTATATCAAATCTTGGCCCGATCTACCCAGTTTTTGGTCAGTTGCTTTATCGGCATAAGTAAATATAAATTTAATTGAATTTGGTTGAATATTAACGATTATATAGCCCAAAATAGTAATATTTTCAAGACCCTTTGTATGGGAGGTATATCAAATCTTGGTCCGATCTATCCAGTTTTTGGACAGTTTTTGATTTATAGGCCTAAGTAAATGTAAATTGCCAATTCTCATTGAATTTGGTTGAATATTAACGATTTTATAGGCCAAATATGGTGACATTCTCAAGACCCATTATATGGGAGGTATACCAAATCGAGGTCCGATCTCTAAAATTTTTGTCAGTTGCTCTTTAGGCCAATAATAAGCACATCATTAGCTTACGATAACTCCTTCTATTTTTGGCCGCGGTTTATATGAACTCGCGACATAGTGTGACGTATGCGCTATGGAATTGCCAATTTAAATCGAGTGGATTTAGTAGTGTAAACATGCTCTAAAGGAAAGAAAACCGTTCCTGTACCAAATTTAGGAGAATAAATGTTTTTTTCGACTCTGAGTTGCCAAAATACAACAATATTTTGGCTATATGGTTATACTTTACCTTCTAAATCATGGTACAAAATCCTAGCTATGTAGACTAGTGTTGAAATGACATAAATTCGACGGTCAGCTGATATTTGTTTTTGTATACATACGCATTTCAATATTATAGTACTTTTACATTGTACCGGATTTGGTTAACCGAGTGGGTTTAAATTGTCAATTCCATTGTATATATTTCAAATGAATTTTCATAAAGTAGGTTAACCCGGTAAAAAGTTCTAATGTATATGCCGCTTTATTTGGTATTTGGAGCAGTGATGCATTTTTAATGCAAAATCAGTGTTGTATTTGAAAGTAAGTTGCATAGGATTTCGAAAAAATTACATAATGAGAGGATTTATGGTTCTATTGTAAATGGAGGTAAAATAACTTAAATATAACAATTAAATTTTGTAAATATTTGCATGGAATGATAAAAATATCCGTTCCAGAATCTTCATGAATGTATAATTTTAAATACTATAATAATTTCTTTTCTTTCAAATCGAGTGGCTTTCGTAAATCTAATCGAATTTTAAGCCAATATTTTGTTTGATCATTTAATCTTTTGTATTTAATAATCAGACATGGCTAATATAATCGCAATTAGTGTTACCAACCATTACTTTTTAATTACATGACATAAAAAAACGTTTATATAGACTTCCGAAGCAAACAACATTTTTATTTGATTTGATGTAAACATAACCTAACTTTTGCAATTCAGAATAATTGTAGCTAAAATCTTTTTGTAAAAAAAAAAAAAAACAAAATAAACACAAAATCTTCATAAATTTATCTTTAATTGTGACTTGTGAGATTTTTAATGCAATATTAAAATAATAACTATAATTACATACAATTGATATTAGCATACATTTACAAACATACATACACATATGTTAAGAAAAAAGAATTTGAAATACGAAAGTTTGTTAGTGAAATTTTAAATACAATTATTGTCAGACAAATAGAAATAACCGAGAGAAATTGGTTTTGAAGCAAGAAAACATTCGAAGCAAATTTTTTCTTAAAAACGATATATATAAATATGCATAAAAGTAATATAATTAGTAGCAAACAATAAAACTGATTACAAATATATATATATGATATTCAATTATGTATTAGTAAATTAAACAAATATTTGAAAAATTATACAACAACAAAAAGAAAACGAAAGAATAAATTGATTGAAAATCCCGATCTGATCACTAGTATTTTCATTTTTATACGAAGGTAGACTTGTGGGTATTCAAAAGTACTGTTACGAATATAACTTTAGATTTAAGTTAATTTAGATGAATTCTGTTAATTTAAGAATTTGAATTGTAACGTAAATTTCTACTACGCAGTTTATTTGAATAACTTCACAACAACAACTACTGTATAGATTTTTCTACATCCTTCCATTTCCTCTTTCATTTTCTATTTTGTTATTGTCGTACAATTCTTGTTAAACGTCATCATTGATGATCGCTTAATTCCTCTTTCTTTGTTACTCTCTCGCCTGTATATGTGTTGTTATTGTAAGTTTGTTCACTCAATGTAAGTTTGTTGTTGTTATTGTTCACTCAACGTAGTTGTATGCATTGGTAGATTGTTCGTAATCTAGGTGTTACCAGATCGTCTAGAAACTTCTGTAGCGACAGGCAAGGCTCATATAAATAGAGGAAATGGAAAAGCAGTTAGTCAGTTGTGAATCAGATCGCGAATTGAAACCGTCGAGTAAAGTAAAGTGCAAAGTAAAGTTGTGTGAATAAAATCATTGTAATAATCGTAATCCGAAAGAACCCGCGTTTTATTTGTACGAATTGTATCGGGAAATAAAACAACGTCTACACGGGATTAAGTAAAATCCAAGAACGTAACAGTACTATGAAGGTAGTGGCTTTTTCTGTCAAATATAAAATAAATATACGTAACAAGTTATTTAGTATTTTTCAAAACATAACTAAAAACGTGAAAAATTAATGAAATGTTAGAATTTCTTCTTAAAATCCAGTAAGGAATACCATGAAATATTTGTATTATAATTATTTCCAGACGGAATCGGCAACAAATCATTTTCATTTCAATATACAGTATGTCAAGAATCAGTTTACACATGGATAATTATTAACCCTTTGAGCCCCGAATTTTTCTCGTAATCATAGAACAATTTTATGTTCACAGATTCAATGCAACTATCCTAGTTAGGATATGGACAAATTTTGACATCGCTATATCCTTGCATTCGGGAGATACAGTACCTTCCTTCTGAAAAATAAAAGCTCAATATGTATCAAGAAAACCAAATGCAAAATCGACAAAAAATTCATTTTAAATTATTCTGTATAATAAATATAAGGTCTAAAACATTTTGTTGCCTGTGGGCAACATTGGGCCACAAAGGGTTAAACATTTTCAAATAGTTAAGCTCGAAATAACCCTTATTATATTATTTTTGACATTTATTTGTTAGTTTCGATAGCGAATGTGGGATATATTTAAAGATGTATTATCATATTATTTTATTTTGACAGAAAACTGCATACGTTAGAAAAACTAAGATACTCACACATTAATATCGACCATAAATTAAATTTGAGTACCAAATTTCATAATTCGAGCTCTACAGGTTCACCCAAATTCAAATTTTACCAACTTTAGCACACATTATTTCCAAGAGTACCCACCTCAACCAACCAACAAAACTTCCTGCATACCCCAGTCCTACAACCTCACAATGATTTCAAATTTCAGTACAATTTAAATTGTACCAAATTTAGTACACAATAGTACGAATTTCCAATGCTTCCTACTTAACTCAAACCCACATCCCCATAGTTATCCTAAATCCAAGTTCCAGGATTCCAATTCAATCGGTTTACCAAACATTCAAATTGTACCAAATTTAGTACACAGTAGTACCAATTTCAAAAACTTGTTACATACCCCAAACCTACACCCACACAGTGATTTAAATCCAAGATTCAGGATTACAATTCTATCGGTTCACCCACAATTCGAATTGTACCAAATTTAGTACACAGTAGTACCAGTTACCAAAACTTCCTAATTACCCCAAACCTAAACCCCACAGTGATCCTAATTCCAAGTTTCAGGATTCCAACTCTATCGGTTCACCCACAATTCAAATCATATCAAATTTAGTACATAGTAGTACCAATTTCCAAAACTTCCAATCCGACACCTGCACATTGATCCTAAATCCAAGTTTCAGGATGCTTTCAAACCATCTCCTTAAATGGAACCTACTTCTCAACCTTAATTCACACTCCAAATTTCAAGTTTTTAGCGCTATCCGTTCACATGCTACAAAATTGTACCAAATTTAGTACAAATTTAGTGAAATTGAAAAACGGTCAAAATGACCGCCTTCGGCAATCTAGTGTTAAGTCTGTCAGTCAATCACAATCACTCTTTTATTAGTATAGAATTATCATAATTGGGTGCTGCATTTAATACAGTTTGAGCCAACCAAATTAAAATTTAGTCGTGTGAGACATAGCTTTTATAGAAGCAACGATGGACGCACAACAATATTTACACATTTAAAAAAACATTTGGTAACCATTGCTATAAACTGTGGGTTCATCAGAGACAATAAGCAACATTTTAAATTTTATCAGGATAATGATCCTAATATTAAGTCACATATAGTTCGGATGTGGTTTCTTTATAACTGGGACAACGTTTTGGTTACACCCACGGTACAATAAATAGGTAGTCCATCTAGCGCAGCTGATGACTCGATTAACTGTCAAAGTGCGCAATATCTACTTGAACTCAATGTGCAATGTTGCCATCCATATGAAATATTATAAGCAAAAATTTGTCAGATGGTCGAGGCCATGATGCAATAACAAGATGATGTATCAAAACAAAAAAAATTGTCTCGATTATCTGTCAAATTTTTCCTTATAATATTTCAAAAAGTTGGCAGCATTGCACATCGAATTCAAGTAAAATTGACCACTTTGACAGTTAATCAAGACATCAGCTGATCTAAATGGACTATCTATTCATTGTGCCATGGTCGAGGCAAAAACAAGTGTTTTTGTTTTGATACACCAGCTAAAGATGTATAGTTCGCGAACGAACTAGTTCCGATCATGGTACATTAAATAGGTAGTCCATTTAGCGCAGCCGATGTCTCGTTTAACTGTCAAAGTGGGTGATTTCTACTTGATTTCGATGTGCAGTATTGCCAACTATGTGAAATATTATAAGAAAAAACAAAATATATTTTCTAAACCTGAACATAGCTCTCAAAATTTAACCATGGATGTTACAACTTATATTTATACGTTTTAGAGGCACATAACTTTAAAATAGTTATAAATATAAATTATTTAGCAATTTTTTGCCACTGAACAAAAAATATGCATACATTTCGAAGGAAGATATTTTCATTTAAATTTTGAAAGCTGAATACTGTCAAAGGCATATTTTATGGCATAACCATGACACAATTAATAGCTAGTACATTTAGCTGATGTCTCGATTAACTGTCAAAGTGTGTAATTTCTACTTGCATTCGATGTGCAATGTTGCCAACTATGTGAAATATTATATGAAAAAATTTGACAGAAGTTCGAGACAAAAACTAAGGTTTTCGTTGTGATACATCACCTTATTATTGCATCATGATGAATTCACTATTAAGAAGGGTTGCCATTATCAATTTTTCAAATAAGACTACCTTGTATAGTTATGCCCATGATGCAATAATAAGGTGATGTATCACAACGAAAACCTTTATTTTTGTCTCGACCTTCTGTCAATTTTTTTCATATAATATTTCACATACTTGGCAACATTGCACATCGAATGCAAGTAGAAATTACGCACTTTGGCAGTTAATAGAGACATCAGCTGCGCTAAATGAACTACCTATTTATTGTGCCATGGAATTTATATATCAATTTCAAATAAAATGAAAAATAAATTCCATATTGACACTATTATTACGTTGGAAATCAGCTGGGATTTGCTGTTACCTTTTATAGTTGTACCATGATTACTATTGTACTATAATCCTAACATTTACATCAAGTAAAACTTGACATGTGAAATTGATAATGTTTAAAATTAATATTTTTTTATTTATTTTATATTAAAAAATAATTTACCTTTTGTCAGAATTCAGCTTTCAAAACTTAAATGAAAATAAATATGTATGCCAAAAAAAGCATACACAAAATATGTATTATGATTTAGTAGAACAAACCACACTGAAAAGAATTTATTCAGTTGGTAGCTATGCCCAAACTTGTTATAATTCTACAAAGACTTCTAAAAGTTACAATTCATACGTTACAATTCAAAATATAGTACAATTTATCATAAGTATTTTTGTAATTTAAAAATATTGATTGAAAAATTGCTACAAGAGTTATGAAACCAGTGAAGTGTGTATGTATATGTAAACAAATAACATTGTACAAATAAACTATATATTTATTGTTTTAATAAGAGTTTTAAGCTCTGCGATTTTGTTTTTCGATTTATAAATCGAATCTCCAAGATATATTTTTGTGTCCGTGAAAGTGGCAACACTGACATAGTGTTCCACTTCATTTACAATTCCAACCCTGGTATTGACATATGGCAACATATGCCAGAAAAATAATAAGAAAACAAATCAACAATTGTAAACAAACAGCTGTCATTTTGGTCCGTTTCCCCCGACCTTAAACCATTGGAATCGTCAGTATACTTGTGCTATATTCCATAGGCTGATATCACCACAAAAAAAAAAAAGAATAAATAAAACCACAATGGATACCAATATTGATAATGCCCTAATAGAAAAGAAAACCATATCTCCTGGCAAACAATATATTCCACTAAAACCAGGAACAAGGGTAAGACCAAATTTGTTGGATCTTCAGTGATAAAGATATTTTTCTAGAAAATTTCCTACTCTGTATTTAGGTGAAATTTCATTTTCAAACAAAGAAACCCGATGGTACCATACTCGATGATAGTAGAAAGATGGCCAATCCCATGGAGCTGGTGTTGGGCAAAAAATTCAAATTGGAAGTATGGGAGGTGATTGTACAGAAAATGGCATTACATGAGGTAGCCCAGTTTACGGTGAACAAAAAGGTCAGACAAAGGTCAATATAGAAAAAGGATGCGCTTAGATGCAATGTTTATTACGGATTAGAAAGGATGTGAATTTCTGATAAAAATTTATAACAACATTTACTTCCAAACTTTCAGTTGGTAGCCCAATATCCTTTTATATCAAAAACATTGCGAGACGTTGGTAAAAAGGTGGAAGAACGGAGGCATTGCTGTGGAATGTCCCTACAAAATGATGGTCTGGGATATAAAGATTTAGATGACTTGCTTTCAAACCCCACCGACTTAATATTCACCATAGACCTTTTGTCCATTGAAATGCCCGAGGACTATAAAAAAGACACATGGCAGTTGTCGGACGATGAACGACTAACTACCTCAATGAAATTACGTGACGAAGGCAATGATTTGTACAAGCAAAAAGAATATGCCAAGGCTGAAGAATGCTATCGCCAAGCAGTGGGTCTAATAGAACAGCTAATGATAAAGTATTAATCATTCAAAAATAACAATATTATTATTCCACTAAAAATATTTTTTGTTTTTAGAGAAAAACCCCACGATGTCGAATGGCTCGAATTGGCTAAACATAAAGTTCCTCTATTGCTAAATTACGCACAGTGTAAATTGTTGGCCAAAGACTATTATGCCGTTATAGAACACTGTACAGAAGTTTTACAATTAGATCCGGATAATGTAAAAGCTCTATATCGACGAGCCAAAGCACATTTTGGTGCATGGAATCCTAAAGAGGCTCGTGAAGATTTTCAACGGGCAGCTGAATTAGATCCTTCCCTACAGATGGCTGTACAAAAAGAATTAAAGGCAATTGACAAAACGCAACATGAACGTGATCTTGAAGATAAGAAACGTTTGCAATCATTATTTTAAGTTATGTAACAATGTAATATAGTCAAAATTTATATGTTTTAGAATAATAAATTAGTTTGTCAGATTGTATATAATAAATGTTTATATGTGATGTGTATGTATGTGTGAATTTAAATATATTTAAATGCGGATAGTAATATTGGAAACCATTTCCAATTTCAAAACGCATAAGCGAGTATTATTTTTTAAGAAACAGTTCAAATCTACAAGAAATTAAACTCGATCACTTTTTACTTCGGGAACCTATAGAGTAACTTCGGATAATGTGGACTATGCGTCTAATGTGGACCAACCCCATATCTAAGAAAATGCTTGAAATATGACAATGCCGCATTGATACATGTTTTCATAATTAGTGAAAATAAACATGGATTTGAATAAATAATTGCAATGTTGAAAATGTAGACAAGCCCTGAATGTGTGATTTCAACATTTTTTTAGAACAAGAGTCGAACACTTAAAAACAAATGTCCGTTTTTTTTTTTTTTCTAAGACAAAATTATACGTTTAGCTGTAATTACAATCGGTTAGTTTAAATTTTCATTAATGTTTGAAGCCGAAAATTATTTTTAAATAAAAAATAAATTAATGTCGGGTAATATGGGCCACTATTAAAAAGTGTTACAGTTGCTTCAGTTGGATAATGAAGCTAGGACCGTCAAAATATCGAAAATGAGGTGGTACCCTTAAATGGGAGCTATTCCCAAATATGGACCCATATATTTTTGAATTCATTGTTACCCAAGATTGAAACAAATGGAAATGGGGCCCTACACTCTATTCAAGCACACACGTACACAGGGGCACATCGGCAATAGCAGTACGGCAGTGTAGTCTGTGGGGGCCAATACAGTTGACATGGTATAATAATAGAAGGTAACAGCAGGTGTTGTACAACAAACGATACAACAACCACATGGAAAAACTGATCAGCGATGGAAATTTGCAGAGGATGTGCTCAATTGTTTCCTGTTCTTCTTCGTCCTCACATAGACGACAGTAATCCTCTCCACTGGAGTCCCACTTAGAAGTGAGAGATCTAATTTTGCAGTGACCAAACAGACAAACAAATTATCAACATTATTTATTTTGAAAATGTAATATTTTCGAAAATCTATCAAATTTATATTTCTATCGCTTCCACATCTTTCCTATAATTGAGCCATTGCCACTTATATGTGTAACTCATATAAAAATGCGGGGAATTGCGAGTTATTCAATGAATAATGATTTGCTTCCTCAAACTTTCCCAGCAGGCAGATTAAGTAAAATAAATACGGGAGGACATATTAAAAAGAAAAGATATGATTTTTAAAAACGTAATTTGTCAAATTCATATTGAAACTAGTATTACGTTGGAATCAAATCAGCTGGGTTTTACTGTTACCTTTTATAATTGTTCCATGTACAGTTGGTATGATTGTATCGAAATTGATTGTCGAATAAAAACTTACTCGATATCGACTGCCATTTTTTGTTCCTTATTTCTTGTTAAAGGAACAACACGTATTTTCTTCCACAATAAAGGACAAAAGGAATACCACATTTTATTTATTTATAAGGAATATTTTCATAAATCAATTAATGTATTTTTTTTTAATTTTAGTATTTTATAATTTTATAAATAATTTAAGGAGATCAGTGTGGTCTATTTATTTCTTTACATAACAATATATTATATGTAGATGAGGGTGTATTAAATATATGTATATAAAGTTTAAATATTAACTAAAATAATACAATAATGTACACATGGCTTGGAAACAATAAATGACTAAAATTATACATTCATGCTAACACGTTGGCGTCGTCGCCTTAGTCGTCTTCTTCTTTCAACTGTGATTTGTTTTATTTCTTAATTTTTAACTACACTCTTTTAACACGCATTGTGACAGCACCCTCAGCTTGACCCCTATGCTTATTATCATCGGTACGCCATACAAACGGTTCCAAACGATCTTCAAGATCCAAAAAATTATTAATTGTCTCCAAACTTTCCAAATTTGCATTCAGTATGGAGTTGCAACGACTTAATTGTTCGGAAATCAAGCGCACCTTGGCAAATTGTTCAGCGTATGCTGCATAGGTTTTTTGCATATCAACGAACGAAGCGAAAAGGGTCGTTATGGAATTACTAACTACTTTGGTGCGTTCAACCAGATGCGATTGATCCTGGGCCACCATATTGGCACACATATTCAAATGGGTTTGCATGCGACAACATATATTCAATAAATGTGGCTGTATATCAAGTCTTTCCAGCAGCTCAGCATCTTTGGTGAATGTTGAGGAATTTATTGTGTCCCGTAGAACTGGTAGAAATTGTGGTATATTCTGTAGTTGCTGCAATTCGATTTCTATCTCCTCATGAGGATCTTTTACGCCGGGTTTTACAATTACTATGCTGTGAGCACCCACTGTGGACTGGGGTCTTTTGGGTTTAGCTCCGGTATTGGGTCTTCGTAAGACTAGCGAATTGCGATTTGTTGCCGGACTATTGCCCGATTTTCCCCGTATCTTGGGTGAGTCACCTATCGGTCTGTCTGTTGTATAGGAAACATAAGGCAAATCGGAACAAACACTTAACGGCGGCGATGATGGCCTACTCATTTCCGATGTTGTCGGAGATGGTATCGGATCATTGGATTGTTTTAGTTTACTGGTTGTGGATGAACTAGCACTGCCCTGCCGGAGCATGGAACGTTTTTTGATGGCTCCTGAAGCAGTTCCCTGGACCATGGGTACAGGTCGGCCAGTTGCATTTTGATTTGTTGGAATTCTAGTATCACCATCGAATAGTTCTCGGCCGTCGGCTTCAGCCCGTTGTTGGGAATGTTCAGCGCCCATATTTTTTTTTACTTTTTTCCTTCTATTACGACAATGACCTTTTTGCTGAGAGACTTTCCGTTTGCGAAAAAATCACAAAAGCGATGAATTTATTTACGAATGAACAAAAAGGGATAAGGGTTAACTAGAAGAAAGCGATAAAGCATAATAAGAAAAACATTTTATAGGGTTGCCAAGCCAATATGTGTAGTTCGACGTATGCTGGGCGTAAGGCATAGAACGCAGAATCCGCGAAATTCAAATTAAAATTGGTAAATTAATCCATATTAAATTAGGTATAATTAGCTGTGTCTTTTTACTCGATATTTGTGTAACAATTGTTACTAAATGTTATAGAATGTTGCTGTTTACTCCAATGTCCAGAAAAGTTGGGCGAAACGAGGGAGCTGGTTTGGCAATTCTACGCTGAGAACTTACTGAACGTTACTGGGTAAAGTTCTTCTAATAAGATTTATCCAGCACTAATCGATATATATCTATTGGTGGTTAATTTTAAATTTTGACCAAAGTAAACATTTTTTATTTTACTAGTGTTGGCGGGTTTATTGGGATATCATTTGTATTTTGTTTTTGCAAAGTAGTCAAGCTGAATTAAGTGTTTTGGTATCATTAGATTTGTCTAAGGCATTTAATTCTATTGATCATGATAAGCTCGTATGGAAACTTAAGAATAACTTTGACTTTTCTAAATCAGCCTGCAAGCTAATATTGTCTTATTTGAGGGATCGGAGTCAGTTTGTTGTTTTAAATAGTGCGAAATCTAATTCTTGTTCATTATTTTCTGGTGTACCCCAAGGATCTGTACTTGGACCACTGCTTTTTATTTTATATGTGAATGACCTTGCTCTTCACATAAACACTTCAAGCTGCACGACATATTTATTCGCTGATGATATTTTCCTGCTTTTTAATGGTAGTCCTAAATCTCCTAACACTTTTGAAAGGGACATAAATTTGAACCTAGATCGCTTTGTTGATTGGGCAAACAGAAATGTTCTGAATGTAAACCCGTTAAAAACTAAACCTTTGTATTTTAGGAAAAATGGCCGAGCATATCCTCTAAATATTTATATAGGTCAAGAAAGAATTGATTTTGTATGTTGTCTAGGTGTTATAGTTGATTGTGAACTATACTTTAAATCCCATATTGATGCATTGACCGGTAAAGTATGGGGCACATTACGTAGGATTTATTCGTCTAATTTGTACTTAAATCAGCGGATAAAGCAAATTCTAGCTAATTCCCTTTTAATGTCTCAGGTTTTATATGGGCTTGAAGTATATTCTGGGACAATTGCTTTTAATATGGAAACAGTAAAACGGATTGTAAATTCTATAACGCGGTTTGTCTATAATCTCAGGCGAGATAGTCATGTGTCACGATATGTTAAGCTGTTTCTAGGGTGTTCCTTTGACATGTTTGTTAAATATCGTTGCTTATTCCTTTTTTATAAAATAATTAAAAATGATTCCCCCGTATCCTTGAGAATTTTATTTTCTTTTTCAATTTCTTCTAGGAACCCACAGGTCTGCATTCCTAGAATCTATAAAAATATCTTCGCAAGGTCTTTTTTGGTTAGAGTTGCGAGATGTTGGAATACCCTTCCACTTGAATTACGTGCTTTTTCACATATTAACAATGTTTTCCGTTTAAAAGTTCTATGTCATTTTGACAATTCCCTACAATAATGTGTGGATATTCTTATACATGTGCTGCTTATTGGATATATGTTAAAATCTATATTTGTTTTTATGGCTGGTGAGCCTTCATTCTATTTTTATCAAAGTAAAATTAGTTATATTTATTTTAGATTAATATATAATGTATCTCAGGCTATGTATATTTGTCAGCAGATACGTATTAATGGTCTTAAGGCTTTGTATCATAAATGAATTTGAAAATAAATAAATCCCATTTTATTGTTTTTATAAAAAACAACTATGGTCTGTTCCCGTACTGCAAGAATCTACTAGATTTTCTATTTTCTTCGATAACATAAAGGAAAATTAGTTATCGTAGTAAAAAGTAGTAAATTCTTGCAGTACGGGAAAAGACCACTAGTTATTAGTAGGGAATGTATGGAAGACTATAGTTCGGATCTTGCCACTGATCCTCATCATTTCCCTCAGTTTTTGTTGGGATATTCTCTCCAGAAGCTATTTATTACTTCTTTACAAAAAAACGTTTCAGACCCAAATGTCTCTTGTGACAATTCGAAGTTCTTACGTTACCAGCGATTTTTGCAAAAAACTTTTCTTATTTTATGATATTTTTTTCTTAATCAGTCAAAAGAGTAAGTTTTGAAGCATTTTAAGTGAAATTACATCATATTTTGCTGTTTGTAGTAGTTCATGTATTGTTGTTTATAATATAATTAAGTGATATACTGTTAATTTTAAGCTTTTGGAGTAGTCCCTGTAAAAAAGTTTTTGGAATCGCTCATGGCCCTTTGGGCTAGGTTCTTGTTTATGATATAAATTGTATTGAATTGAAAATCTTACTGGATGACATCTGTTTATTTTTCTCCGTATTATTGCAAAAGAGAATACAAATGGTTTACTCTCTGAAAAAGAACTTATTGAGTAAATGTTACTGAAAAAGTTGCCAGACACAGCTATTATTACAAGGTAGGACAGTAATGACTTTGTTACATTTCAGGAAGTAATGACTTTGTTACATTTCACGTTATTCCCTATTGGATTAGGGGAAGGAATCATAACCTTTCACCTCAAACTGACCTACTTGGCAATCTTGTACTATTGTATTAAACCTTAAAAAATTGTTTATTTTTCATTTCAAACTATACGGCATGGCATAATTATACAAGGTAGTCTCACGCAGTCATATGTTTTCAATTTGTTCGTAAATTTGCCTTTGACAGAATTCAGCTTTCAAAATTAAAATGAAAATACCTTCCTTCGAAATGTACGCATATCATGTGCTCAATGGCAAAAATTGCTAAATCATTTATATTTATAAATATAATGAAACCCCCTGCCTCTAAAACAACCACGTCTAAATCATAAGAGTAATGTTCAGCTTTACAAAATAAATTTTCATAAATTTCACGTAGTGTTATCGTTCTCTTTTGAACTTGCTACATGCGTCTATGCAAGACAATTCGGTTTCAAAAATATTTTTTTTTTTTTTGCAATAGTTTTTTTTCACATCTAAACAAATATAAAATGTCAACAATTACGAAATACACAAAACGAATTTTACCAGAAAATTGACGGTGCGAGCAATTTTTTTAATTTCTATCCCCCTTGCCCTCTCTCCTATAAACAAAGACTTGCCGCAAGTAAACTCGCCTAATCTTAATTGGCACTATGTACATACGTAATTCAGAGCTTGAACGACGATTTTTTTTTTAAATACCCGTGAGAACATGGCATAGTGGTCTTTTATTTGGTAGTTTCTGAATAACCGGTATATTATGATCTGTAAAAATCGATCATTTGTAATCGATTAATAAAAAAATACATCCATTTTCTGAGGATTCCCCGAAATTCAAATTCAAATACGCAGAATAATCCACATTAGACGCTCACATATTGGTCACTTTTTATTTTTAAACTGTGCGGATCGAATAAAAACGAAGAAAAATAAATAACCATGGCAACTGGAGAAAATCAAAATGTTCTCATGAAAACTGAACGACATCATCTGTTGAAATTACAAAATTCCAGACATGTTTTGGAAACTCCAAAAATTGTTGGATTTTATTCATATGATTACAACAAATTTGAACCGTCAAAATATATTAAATACTTTAAAGAACCGAAAAAATCGAGCTATCCTTTAAATTTAAATGGTGGCGAATGCATAACTCAACAATTTGATACATTTGATACTAGGCTTCATATACCTCTAACTTATATCATGACCCTAGACGGGTCGATCAAACACGCTAATGTAAAGGCGACGAATGTATATACCGGTCGTCGTGTACTTACACAGCTAATGGAATATTGTTATACTAAAAATGAAAACCTAATATTTATAACCCGTCATGATGGGAAATTATACATGGCTAGCTCGTATCCTAGATATATTAGACACGGCGTTCCGCATCACAAACGTTTGGAAAAGTATTTATTTACAGGTATGCAATAAATTGAAATAACGTTGATTTTTATTCAAATAAAATATTTATATGATTTAAAAGTGTAAATTTTTATTTACTTGCAGATTCTCCCGATGAAGAACCAAATCCAGACGAACCCATTGATATGAATAAAACATTGAGTTGTTTGCATAATGCTAATTTTGGAAAATTTTCTCTTTTTTTATGCTGGCGAGGTACAAGGTATTATATCCGACAAAAAATTGGATAATTTGTAAGTAATTATAAAATAATTGTTGTTGACAATATCAAAACTGTGATGTTCCATATTTCATTTTAGGAACGATATGGATATGTTAAACCAATGTCGTTTTGTATTTACTAAACAAATGTGGGCCCACCAAATTGAACAACAACATCGTTTTCTACGTTATTGGATACAAGCAAGATTATGCAATATTCATGATATTTATATTGCATATAAAAAGAGAGGTGGTGTTGTACAGGATCCGATTGAACATCATAAAACGTCTGTAATGCATGAGGTAAGAATGTATTTATTAAGGTATACAATTTTAAAATATATATAAAAAACATGTAATCTTAAACGACATTTACATTAGAACTTTTTACCAGGTCAACCTACTTTGTGAGGATTAAACGTACTATAATTGTTATTTTTTTTTTTTGTCATTAATAAGTTGCTCTACCTTTTTTGTAGAACAGCTTCTCATTTTACTCTATTAAAATATTTTTCTGATGAACAATTGCTAAAAAAAATGGTTTAGTTAAATCCAAATTTTTGTCTGATTACTGTAGAAACATTTAATTTCATACCCTACACTCATTATTTATTTGCAGGCATGGTCCTGGAAACCAGAAGTTTGCTATGGATTTTTATATGAATTTTTGGAAAATGTTGAAAAACTTATG